CCCTGATATGTTAGCAATTTGAAAGAAGGGTGGAGGTTACAGAGATAAAAGGCGGATGAGACCATTTGTAAGCCAGAATGAGAATTTTTGGACACTCAGGCAGTTGTAAAGAGGGAGATTTCTTCTATATGCTCTATAAAGCTACTTAGCAGTGCTGGAATGAAGCAAGAATCCTCTGTGTTAAAAGTAAACTAGTTTTCATAAAAAAAATGTTAAGACCAATGGACAGGTATAGAATGAGGAAAATCTCCAAGGAAACTCAATTCAACTCAGTCAAGTGTTTTTCACCATCTGAGCCAAATGAAATAACCCATGATGTATATTGAAAGATACAAACATGCCAATTAGGAGCAGAAGTAGGCCACTTGGATGCTTGACCATGCTCTGCTCTAAATAAGATGGAATCAGATCTAATTGGTCTACATTCTCATCTAACCAGATAAACTTTCACCCCATTGCTCTTGAAGACTATAACTATTTCCATGTCAAAATATCCAAAGCCAGTGCTTCCGCACCACCTTTTGAGAAAGAGAGTTCCAAACACTCACAATGCTATGTGAGAAAAAAAAATTGCCTCATCTCTGTTATAAATGAACAATATCCAGTTTTTAAACAGTTGACCTCAAGTCTGAGATTTTTGCACAAGTGAAAATATCTTTTCTACGTGCACCTTGTCAAGATCCCTCAGGATTTTATTTGTTTCATTCAAATCATCTCTAACTTTTCTGAATTCTAGCTGATGCAAACCTAGCCTGTTCAACTTTTCCTCAGAAAACAACCAGTCCAGGCATTTAGTCTCGTCAACCTTCACGGAACTACTTCCAATACACTTAAGCCCATCCTTAAATAAGGAGACAATACTGTATAGAGGACTCTGGATGTGATCTTATCAATACCCTGCATAATTGAAGGATGACCCCTGACTTTTGTATTCAGTTCCCCTTGTAATAAACACTAACATTCTATTCATAGAGTCCCTACAGCATGGAAACAGGCCCTTTGGCCTGACAAGTCCACACTGGATCTCAAACCCATACCCCTATAACCCACCTAATCTACACATCCCTGAACACTGTGGGCAATTTAGCATGGGCAATCCACCTAGCCTGCTCATCTTTGGACTGTGGGAGGAAACCAGAGCACTCAAAGGAAACTCATGCAGACACAGGTAGAACGTGCAAACTCCACACAGACAGTCACCCAAGGGTGGAATCGAACCTGGGTCCCTGGCATTGTGAGGCAGCAGTGCTAACCACTGAGCCACCATCTTAGCTTTTCTAATTATTTTCCGTACCTGCATTCTTACTTTTTTATGCTTCAGGCACCAAGGCTCACTGCAGCTCAGAGCTCTGCAATCTCTTTTTATTTTGGTAATATAATTTTATTTTTCTTATTTTTCCTGCTGAAATGGACAATCACATTTTCCAAACAATATATTAAGTTTGCCAGATCTTTGTTCACTCATTTAACATGCCTATATCCCTTTGTAGTCTCACTGGTAGTAGGTACAACCTGGTTGGTCGATGGGAGGAATCAGAAGGTGGAATAGAAGTGAGGAGATGAGGCTGGAAGGGGAGCCAGAGGAGGGGTGGGAAGGTTATTTGGAATTGGAGAGCTCAATGTTGAGTCCTCCGGGCTGTAGGGTGCCCAGGCAGAAGATAAGGAGAATTTTCTTCAAATTTGCATTCAATCTCTGCAACACTGGAGAAGGCCGAGGGCGGACATGTTGGAGGGGGAGTGGGGTGGGGAGTTGAAGTGGGCAGTGACTGGGGGGTTAGTTTGGCCGTTATATCCTCGTGAGGATGCTCGGAAAAACGGTTGCCTAGTCTACGTTTGGTCTCACCGACGTAGAGAAGACCACATCGGGAGCATCGGATGCAATAGACGAGGAGGAGATGCAGGTGAAGCTCTGTCTCACTTGGAAGGGCTGTTTATGGCCCTGAATAGAGGTGAGGGAGGTGGTGTGTAGACAGGTGTTGCATCTTTTATGGTTACAGGGGAAGGTACCAGGCTGGGTGGAGTGGTTGGTGGGGAGGGTGGTGCGAACTAAGCAGTGGTAAAGGGTTCCAGAGGACGTAACATTGAGTTCTCCAATTAAAAAATAAACTTTCCATCCATCCCCCAGCTCCCCTTCCAGCCTCGCCTCCTCCCTTCCATTCCACTTTCTGACCCTCACTTCCAGCCATCACTCAGATTCATCCCTCTCATCGACCAACCAAGTCATACATACTACCAGTGTCCACCAATCACCACCATTCCACCTCCATCCCTCTCCACTCTCTTTATCTGCAGCTCCCCCTACCCCCTCATCCGGTCCTGAAGAAGGGTAATACCTGAAACGTTGACTGCTCCTTTCCTCCAGATGCTGCCTGGCTTGCTGTGTTCTTCCTGCTTCCTGTTTGTCTCCCAATACAAAATACCTGTTCAATTCAGCTGCCAGATGCTTATTTTTCTTTATTTGTTCTGCAGACTCATTTTGTATATGACCAACACTCACCTTTTAAATCTTTTCTTTTCAAAATGTCTCTAGAAATTCTCACTATCTGTATATGTTTTACGGTTGTCTCTCATACTCTAATTTTTCCCTCCTTTTTAACCTTTTAGTCATTCTTTTCTGATTTTGTATTCTTGCCCACTCTTCTGACCTGCTATTATCTTTGCACAACTATATGCTTTTTCTTTAAATTTAACTTTTTTAGTTAACTACTAATGATGCACCCTGTCCTTGGAAATCTCTTTGTTGGAATGTATGTATTCTGATAATTTTGAAATATCCACTTGAATGGCTCCCATTGCATCAGTATTGCCCTATCCCTTATCCTAATTTGCCAGTTCATTTTAAGATCTAACATGACTCCATCTGCCCAGTGTTTTCAACAATCACATAATTCAGCTTTTTAGTAAGCATCTCAGACAAAATGCCACAAATTGACTTTCTTTAACTAGTTTCTGTCATTGACATTGTTTTTATGGAAACATAGATCTTATTTACAGGAAACACTTAAAGGAGCAAATATCCTCTCTGCAGCAGAGTCACAACTTTCTTTTTAAATGGTGACTATTTCTGATTTTACTACACATGCTTCACTGACGAAACCTTCTCCCTCTATCAGTGCCTATATAGCTAGAGAGTTACCTGTGATGATAGAGAAACAAGCTGAAGCAAGGGAAAACAGAATGAAGACTAAAACAATGGCAATAACATTAGAAACAGATTTTGGCTGTGAAAACGGTCTAGGAGATCTCAGAACTGGCAGCAACAATGCAGTAGCAGCAGACAATGAAGACAGTACAAGATCATAAGCTGGCCAGGGTGATGCAGCAGGTCCAGCTTGAATTGGGTTGGTCAGTGTCCCTAAAGAGATTGGATTCCAAGCATGTCTCTTCTCAGACAACAAGGTGCAGGGCTGGATGAACACAGCAGGCCAAGCAGCATCATAGGAGCAGAGAGGCTGACGTTCGTCTCTTCTCAGGCTTGTCCAAGATAGTAATCAACGTCAGGAGTGTTATAGTCCTAGTTGTAAAGAGAGACACAGTTTTGGATCACGACTTCCTTTGTCCTCAAATTGGATCTCTTGAAATACATATGGATTTCCCATGATGCAGTCTGAATGATTAACTTCTGTGTCTCAGGTCAGTTCTGATAGTGATGTTAATTCTTGTTGGAAATCACTTTGCGATGAATAGCAAGAGGACTGTTGTACAACAAGTCAGAAATGTGACAGTAATCTATCTAATTTGCATCTATTTGCTTTGTATTATGTTCAGTCAGACTGAAGAGAACAGACCAGACTTGAAGGACACGTTTTTACTATATCAGTTTTAAGCAAAGTATCAGGGAAAAAATTAAATAAAACTGAAAACCACCACTGATTCATAACCAAAATATTCTAATCATGACACTTAAGACTTTGCTTCCTGATTAACAGTTTATTCTATAAATTGGTCTACTTCTTGTGGAAATATCATGGCTAAATGTGTCCTTCCGGTTAGTGCGAGATACAGTCATCATTTTTTTCATACTATTTAATCACATTCCACATCTTTCTATTCTAAATACGGATGCCAATCGTACTTGGTCACTGATTGGTGAAAATTTACTGAAAGACCAATCAATAATGGTAAGCTCCATAAAGATAAACTTGCTGTAAGTGATGCATAATGAGGAAATTACACCTAGTAACACTTAACTACATATCTTAACAGAAATTACCTTTAGTGATTTTAGCTAATGAGATTTCACTGTCTGTTATTTTAGAAGAAGGAATTAAACTAATTCAGCTAATACCTGGCCACTTAGTCCAAAATAGTGGATAAAGGAGTGACTTATGAATGCGTTAAACTGTCACCCACTATTGGTAGCAATCAGTGCGAAGCTGCAGGAATCCCTCACTCAATAACATTCTGGTTTGTAGGGAGGGGTAATGATTATTAAGGAAAAAGAACAGAGAATTTAAGGTAAATAATTTTAAGCTGGACAGGTCAGTGTCTTAACCTCTGAGTCCCACTCCAGGATGTGATGGCCATGGAAGGTGCCACCATAACGTAGCCAAACCTGTAAATCTTTTCAATATACTAATGGCAAACACTAAGAACGGGAGCATCTTCTGCTCAGTCATGTTTGGTGTGGCGTGGCATTCCCTGAGCTATAGGCTTTGGCAACGGGCAAGTCACCTGCTCTAGGAAAACCTGGCTATGGAAACCTACAAATGCATGTTATTTCTGCATATGAATCATAAGACTCAAAAGGTCCCTCTAAATATAATCCAAGAAAAGGTGAGAAAAGGAAACTAAAACAGAAACCATGTCCAGTATTTAACATATATATGTGCTAGTTAGTTAACACAATAAAAGAAAAGTCATAAAATGAAATAACAAAAAAGAAATGGAATGTTTGAAGTTCAGTCGAAAGTCTGTTGTTCCGTCAAATGGAAAACATAAAAATATTTTGTCTTTTTTTTAAAAATTGCTCACCTGATGTTGATTCTGTTTGTAATTAGGTCCTAGAAGAAGTCAAGATCAATCTGGCAGAGATCTTACGGGGCATGGAGAAGCCACTTACAAGCAGGTATAGTTCTACTGGTGCCAGTACTGACAAAGGCATATCCCATTGCAGTCAAACTTATAAAGTCATTCTTATTAACAACTGAAGTCTTTTGCCAAAACTGACAGGGCTGTCCCTACAGACCATTCAAACAGCAAGTTGACATAGTCATACTCACAAAATCATACCTTTTAGCCAATGTCCCAGTCTGCTTCATCAATATCCCTGGATAAGTCGTGTCCCACAAGCAGAACAGCTCAGTAATGGTGTTGCCTCAATGATGTCAGGATGGAATGACTCAGTGAGTCTTCAACACTGGCTCTGAACTTCTTGAAGTCTCATTGCATCAAATCAAACATGGCTAATGAAACTTCCAACTTCGCATCCTCTAAGCTATTGTAACACAGAAAAAAGAACACTGACGGTGCTTTGAGTTTTGGACTTTGAGGTTCATTGCTGAAAGTGGCTCAGTAACACAATTATTGACCAACCTAGCAGAATCCTGAAGGACGTAGCTATCAGAATGCACTATAGTGCATAATGAAAGAACCCTCAAGACAGAAAAACTCAATTGACATTTTCCTCACCAAACTACTTGTTGCAAATTTGTCCATCCATAATGCTATTGGTAGGGGTAACTACTTCACAGTCTTTGAGGCAAGGTCCTATCTTCACACTGAGATACACTCCTTATGTGAGATGGTACCATCACCTTTGTGTTAAATGGGATAGATTCAGAATAAAACTAGAAGCTAAAAACTGAGTATCTATGAGGTTGTGGGCTATGTGCAGCAGTAGCCAAATTATACTTCATAAAGCTAACTGCATGTCCCAATATATCCCTCATTCAATCATTACCATCAGTGAAGGGGACAACCTTAGTACAATGGTTAACGTTTTGAGTCTGATATGACTCTTCAAGCAGTAAGTCACATTGGGAAATGCATTCTGTAGTTCTGTCAAATTTTCCACAGAATTTAGAAACTATTTGCATTGAATATCATTTATTGACCATTGCTTTAATAGAATGTGGAGTTTTATTACCTATTAACCCTGAGAAGCTAAGAAAATGCAACATCAAGCACATATAGAAACACAGGAAGTTAGCTTTCAAAGAAGGGGAGAGGAAGAGATGCCTAGAATAAACAAACAGGTAAAGTCAGTTGCAGTTTAAAATTCTTGAAGTCCTTGCGTAGCGAGAGGGAAAGCTGACTCCCAGCTGTTTAGCTGCTGAACTGTTTCCACAGCAGTAACAAAGTTTTCAGGTATCCTTGAGGTCTGCATGAACAGTTGTTGTTTCATTGATACTTTAGCTCAGAAAAAGCTGTAGTCAGAGATCAGTTTTCATATTCCTTAGTGTGCTCATTTTTTGCCCAAGCTGAATTCTCCATAGACATCCCCGAATCTAAGAAAGGATGTGCTGGCTTTCGAGGGGGTCCAGAGGAGGTTTACAAGAATGATCCTGGGAATGAGAGGCTTGTCATATTAGGAGCAGTTGAGGACTCTGGGTCTGTACTCGATGCAATTTAGAAGGATGAGGGGAGGGTATTTCATTGAAACTCAAAGAATACTGAGAGGCCTGGATAGAGTGGACATGGAGAAGATATTTCCTCTAGTAGGAGAGACTAGGACCCGAGGGCACAGCCTCAGAGTGAAGGGAAAGCTCTTTAGAACCAAGGTAAGGTGAAATTTCTTCAGCTAGAGGGTGGTGAATCTGTGGAACTCAGTGCTGCAGAAGGCCATGGAGGCCAAATCATTGAGTATATTTAAGTCAGAGATAGATAGGCTCTTGATTGGTAAGGGGATCAAGGATTACAGGGAGAAGACAGGAGAATGAGGTTGAGAAATATACCAGCCATGATTGAAAGGCAGAGCAGACATGATGGGACAAATGGCCTAATTCTATTCCTACGTTTCATGGTCTTTCATCACAATGTGTAACTTCCAGAAAAATTTGAAATAATTTGGGAGATACAGATATAACTTTCATTAACCTTTTATGAAGATACAAATTTTGGCCTAGACTGATCCTTGTTTACTAAGTATTTCATGATCTTAACTCAGCTTAGTCAGGTGATCCCAGCAACCATCTTAGGTAAGCACGAGACAACAAGGTGCAGGGCTGGATGAACACAGCAGGCCAAGCAGCATCATAGGAGCAGAAAGCACTAGTCCTTTTTAAAACCATGTTTTAGTCCATGAAAGACTCAGGCATTAAAGTCAAATGATGAAAGTTAAACATTTATCATTCATTTTCACGACAATCATAAGTGTTTAAATTATTCTCAATGAAGATATTCTCCTGTTCTTCCATTGCAGAAATTCTGTTATCTCCCAATTAGCAAGGCCTCTTTAATTATTTGTTATTTGTACCATTTCTCACCAACAAACATTATCTCCAAAAAGCAGCATCTGCCTGTTTCTCCATTTAATTATTTAGCCCATTGAAGGGGTTGCCTTGTATCTCTTTGTCTCCCAATGAACACAGTTCCTGAATCCTTAATATTATGAACTTCTCGTCTCTGAATTTACAAGGTATATCTATGCAAGGGAATAAGATATTTTTCACTGAGATTAATCATTGTGACTCAAAAGTATTCTGCTCACCTCTACCTGTGAAGATTTGCACAATTTATGATGCCAATCATTCATGTCCCTGCTTTTAAATTGCCCAAAATTATGCATTCTTAATAATTGGAAAATATAAAACACATCCACGTTGCATACTATTCCAAGCAATGACAATAGCATCAATGGGGTAGAGTTAGAGTTAGAGAACAAACCCAAAGCTGATGTGTGTTCCTATATCCAGAAGTGTTTGAAGGCATTAAATAGAACAATGTATCTTCAGAAAATAGTGATAAAACTCACCATTTGGTGTCACTTCAATCCCTATTGCTGTGTCTCAGGCACCTCAGGTATTTGTTGAAATGAACGAACTGAAAATGGATGAAGACAAACATCAATACTGGCAAGAAACTGGACGATGGATAAAGTATGAAGAGGATCTGGACAAGGATTCAGACCGATGGGGTAAAGCGCATGTACCTTCTCTCACCTTCAGGAGTCTCCTGGAACTCAAAAGGGGCATCAGCAAAGGTAGGTATACCTGCCAATGTAATCCCCTAGTCCAATGCTACGATTGTAAATCTGACGGATTTCTGCTGTAGTTAGAAGAGATGATTGCAAAAGGCAGTCAAAAACTGGTTTTGTTTTCGTGCATAGGTGCTGTTCTACTTGACCTGGAGGGAACCACGTTTTCTGGCATTAGTGTTAATATCGTGGAAGAGATGATAGCCAAGGATCAGATAAGGGCAGAAAATAAAATCAGTGTGCTGAATGCATTGCTCCAAAAAACCAGGTAAAGTGACCATGTTTCCATTCATCTCCTAATACTCAGGATTAGCTGTCTGCAGCTACCTATAGGGTCATTATGGAATGTTACTGTGAAAGTAGAAAATAATTGTAATGGTAAAAAGCTTAGTTTTAAGCCCTCCAATCTATTGAGTAACATTTCTGACTGACGTGTTATTCTAAGGAGTTGCATTGCTTAAACTGGGACTCCTCATTACTGTTTAGAGACATTAGTAAGCTTCACCAACTCTATTTAATTTATTTGCGAGAGACATTAGGAGAAGGGTTTTGCTGTTAGGTGCATAATATACACTGAAATTCCTCCTCTTTGCGCCTTTGACCCCTCCAGACAATTGGGCTAATGAGACCTACAGAACTAGCACGCCACAAACTTCTGAAACCTTGTTAGTGACACTTCCAGATAAGATAATGGCAGATGTATTGATTAGCCTTTTGGTAATTTCTGACATGGTTCCTCCCCAGCCTTGACTAGTGTTTAGTTCTATTTTCATCCTTCTCACAGCAAATCCAGGCATCAATAAGACACAATGGGCTACCAGCAGCAGTAGAATTGTATTTAAACACAAAATGTGAACTCATGGCCTGGTATATTCCCTACTCGGTAATCACCATCAAGTCGGGGATCAATCCTGCTATGTAGCAGGCAAGCATGCCTGGAACAGCACCAGGTATACATAAAAATGAAGTTCTACCTGGTAAAACTAAAGCACAGGACTTCTTGAATGCCAAATAGCAGAAGCAGCATGCAATAGACAGAACTAAGTGATCTCACAATCAACAGGTCATATCCAAGCATTGCTGTCCAGCTGTACCCAGTCATGAATGGTGGTGTACAATTAAACAACTCTCTGGGGGAGGAGGCCTGACAAATAACCCATTCTCAATGACGGAGGGAGCCCAGCACACCAGTGGGACAGAAAAGTTGACTGATTTTGTGTGTATCTTCAGCTAAAAGCACTGAGTTGATAATCCGTCTGAGCCTGACAAAGGGTTTCAGCCCAAAACATTGACTTTCCTGCTCCTCGGATTCTGTCTGACCTGCTGTGCTTTGTCAGCTCCACATTTATTGACTCCAGCTTTCAGCATCAGCAGTCCTTACTGTCTCCTCCTCCGTCCATTTCAGCCCCTTCCTGAGGTCTACAGTATCACAGTTGGTGGCCTTTAGCCAATTTGATTCATTCCATGTGATATCAAGGAATGGCTGAGGACACAGAGTACGGAAAATGCTTTGGTCACCAAAAACACTCCAGCAATACAACTGAAGACTTATGCTGTACTCCCATCTAAACTGTTCCAACACAGCTACAACACTGACATCTACCCAATAATGTGGAAGATTTTCCAGGGATGTCCAGAAACAAAAAGCAGGACAAATCCAACCCCACCAATTACTGCTCCAATACTCTGCCCACAATCATCACCAAAGTGATGAAAAAATGTTGTTGGAAGTGCGATGAAGTAGCACTTGCTTGCGTTGATGCTGAGTTTCAGATCTGCTAGCGTCAGCTCCTGACCTCAGTACATGGACAAAAGAGGGGAACTCCAGAATTGAGATGTGAGTGACTGCCCAAGACATTAAGTTGGCACATAACCTATTGTGGCATCAAGGAGCCCTAACAAAACTGGAATCAATGAAAATTCAGGTAAACTCTACACTGGTTGGAGTCATGCATGGTCCAAAGGAAGATGATTGTTGTTTTTGGAGGTCAGCTATGTCAGTCGCGAAGCATCACTGGACACAACTGGGTTTCTTATGGTAGTGACCTAGGTCAAACACTTTTAACTGCTTCAGCAGTGACCTTCCCTGCATCATAAATTTAGAAGTGAGGTTGATTCCTAATGAATGCCCAATCTTCAGCACATTCCAAGTGTGGACAAAAGAGCTGGATTCCAGAGGTGAGGTGACGGTGACTGCCCTTGATGTCAAGGCTGCATTGACCGAGTGTGGCTTTGAGGAACCTGAGCAAAACTGGTGTCAATGGGAACCAGGGATAAAATGCTGTTGTTTTGAATCATACCTAGCACACACGAATATGGTCATGGTTGTTGAAACTCAGTCATCTCACATCTCTGCAGGAATTTCTCAAAGTGGTGTCCTAGGCATATCAGACTGTCTCATCAATGATCTTCACTCCATCATAAAGTCAGGGATATTTGCTGATGATTGCACAATGTTCAAGACTGTTTGCAACTCCTCAGCTTGGAAAGCAATGCATATGCATGTGCAAAAAATCCCTGGACAATATTCAGGCATGGACTGATAGTGTTAGTAACATTCACATGACACAAGTGCCAGGCAATGGCCATCTCCAACAGGAACATCTAACCATTTCCTTTTGAGATTCAAAAACATCATCATCACTGAATCTCCTGTGACCAAGCTTCTGAGAATTACCAAGAACAAGAAACTAATAAATACTGCAACAGGAGGCCAAAAGATTAGAAATTCTGCAGTGATTAACTCACTACCTGGTTTGCCAAGCTTTGTCCACCACCTACAAGGTGCTAGTCAGGAATGAAATGGAATGCTCTCTCCACTTGCCTTGATAAGTGCAGTTCCAACTACACTCAAGATGTTTAATGCCATCCAGGACAGAGCAGCCCAATTGGTTGGCACCCCTTCCAACGTCTTCAACATGCACTCTAAACACATGGTCAGCTGTGTACCATCTGCAAGATGCACTGCAGCAACTCATCGAGGCTCTTTCAACAGTACCTCTTCAAAACCCATGTCCCCCAAAAAATAGAAGGACAAGAACAGAAGAGGCATGGGAGTATCACTATCTAAGCTAAGTAGCATCCTGGCTTGGAACTGTATCATTGCTGGATCAAATTTCAAGAACCCCTTCTCAGTAATACTTTGGGTGTACCTGTATCATGCGCACTTCAAGAAGGTAGCTCAATACCATCTTCTCAAGGACAATTAGGGATAACCAAAAAGTCAACAATGCCTACATCTCACAAAAAAACAAATGTACAAATAAATTAAATTTGAGATCTTTAATTCTGTACAAAGGAGGCAGGGAGGGAAACACATTTAAACCTCTGTTCTCCAGTTCATAAAATAATCTTGATGTTCTAACATTGTGGCAGACATCTTTTGGAAATGCAGTTTCTTACTAGTGGTTTCCCTCCCTGTCCTCCCCATCTACAACTGCAACCCCCCCACCTCCCCAGCCCACAATGATTCCCAAACTCCCCAGTAAAATCTGCAGTCCTGACACCCCCCCATGATTGACTAATCTTGGCCAAACTGTACCAAGACAAAGGATCTGACCATCCACTGAATTCTCTCATCCAATTTCTGACAGTGTGTCAATAAGATGTCAAAAAAGAAAATATGGAAGTGAAACATTATATATTCCAAAGGAATTAATCATTCTTTTCTGTTTTCACCCTAAGGCTGGTGTAAAAGAGTTTTGGAATTTTAAACAGATGCATTTTTCCCAATTCAATATGCACTTAAATATGCATTAAAAATATGAAAGGCATGTCAGACAGATATCTTGAGGCAATCAAAATTAATGAATTAGTTTTATAGTAAATTTAGTCAGTAAAAGATACAAGTATAATTAGAAAGGTAAAATCCATACTGAATTTTATGAGCATTTAAGCAAACAGCTTAAGGTACTTGGTAAAATAAAGTGAAATTGAAAACCTGTCACAGTTCTTAGGCGGGGAGTTATAAATTTATACACTTGTTATGTATTATACATTCCATTGTTGATCTGAAAGTTCTGGGGTTGGGGGTGTGGAGGATGGACACTGTCTCTGAACTGATTTAGTTGTTCTCCTGGGTATAGCTGCATGAAGCAAATGTCCACATTTTGTGGTTGTTTCCTTTTCTCAAAGCTGATCATTTTGGCAAACCCAAACATAACACCGTCAAAGAGACAGAGGGAATATCTTCATTGGATTGAAGTTATAAAAACACATAATCTTATTCCAAAAAAAAATCTAAATGTTAAAAAAAAACTATAAAGGAAGTTGTCAGGTAGAAAGATGGTTCAAAAATACAACAAATAATTAAATTTATAATGAGTGTAATAGTCCATCCAAGGTATAAGTGATTCCGAATTGCCATTCATAAATCAGCTTTTACCAAGTGTTTTGTTGCAGCTTTCTCTGTTTAACTGTTCAACTGTTGATTGTGTGGTTTCCTGGGGAGACAGGGGAGGTCAGCAAGTGAGAGAAAGAGAGTAGCAGGGACAATTAGTGTACCAGGGACTTGAGATGCTTACCAGGGACTAGTGAAACTCTCTTACTGACAACTGAATTGCTTCCACCCTGAAAGGAGGACAAAATATGGGTGGACAACTTAAAGTCAGCACAACAAGGTGCAGGGCTGGATGAACACAGCAGGCCAAGCAGCATCATAGAAGCAGAGAGGCTGACGTTTCGGGCCTAGACCCTTCATCAGAAAAGGGGGAGGGGAAGGGGGTTTTGAAATAAATAGGGAGAGAGTGGGAGGCGGATAGAAGAGGGATAGAGGAGAGGATAGGTGGAGAGGAAACAAACAGGTCGAAGAGGCGGGGATGG